GGGGGGGGTGGGGTTGTTGTACTTGCTGCTACGAACCGCGTGGACGCTCTGGACCCTGCGCTCCTCAGGCCCGGTAACCCCAAACCCTAAACCCTAAACCCTAAACCCTAGGCCCGCGCAGGCCCGCGGCGCAGGCGGCTGTGCGGCCCCGCGCTTCGGCCGGCCGCGTTCGAGGGTCGAGGGCTCTCGGGTGAGGAGGGTCTGGGGCTCAGGGCTGAGGGTTTAGGGTTTAGGGTTTAGGGTTTAGGGTTTAGGGTTTGGGGTTTTGAGCAGGGCGTTTTGACCGCATTGTGCACGTGCCGCTGCCCGACCGAAGCGCCCGAGAAGCCATTTTGATGAAATATTTGCAAAAGATTCCTTTGGGGGCCCCCGAGGGTTTGGGGGCCCTCGAGGGTTTGGGGGCCCCCCAGGCCCTGGGGGCCCCCGAGGGTTCGGAGGGCCCGCAGGCGACTAAACGGGGGCCCCCAGGGGCCCCTCCCGCCAGCAGCAGCAGCAGCAGCAGCAGCAGCAGAAGTGCTGCTGCGAGCAGGAAGAAACACAGCAGCCCCTCTCACGTGCTCGCCCCCAACAGCGCCAGCAGCAGCAGCAGCAGCAGCAGCAGCAGCAGCAGCAGCAGCAGCAGCAGCAGCGAGGTGGAGGGGGAGGGGCAGGGGGCCCTGCACAAAGCCGTGGCTAGCCAGCTAGCCAAACTGACTCCGGGCTTTTCTGGGGCGGAGCTGGAGAACCTCGTGAACGAAGCGGCCTTGCTTGCAGCCCGCGCTGGTAAACCCTAAACCCTAAACCCTAAACCCTAAACCCTAGCCTGCGGGCCCTCAACTCTAGAGCTGTCTCGCTGGCGCGTGGCGCCTTTAGCGAACTCTCTTGCGCCCCAACAGTTGCAAATTCTGCGTAGACGCGTCTTGCTAGGGTTTAGGGTTTAGGGTTTAGGGTTTAGGGTTTAGGGTTTAGGGTTCAGCGTGCCTCCCCGGTCTCGCCCAGCAGGTCCCCCGCCTGCCCCGAGCCGAGCCTGGCGGCCGTCGTTGAGGCAGCGTCTGCAGGTTTAGGGTTTAGACTGCAGGGTTTAGGGTTTAGGGTTTAGGGTTTAGGGTTTAGGGTTTGCGTTGCAGACAAGGGTTTCGTGGGCGTGTCGGAGTTGCTGGAGGCGCGGGACAAAGTGAGCTTCGGCCCCTCGCGGGGTTTGCTGCTGCGCAGTTTGCTGCTGCGGCAGCAAACTGCAACACACGAGGCCGGCCACGCAGTGGTGGCTTTCCACCTGCAGCCAGCAGCAGACCCCATCCACAAGGCCACGATAGTTTCCCGCGGCGCGGCTCTGGGGCTCGTCGAGCAGGTAGGGTTTAGGGTTTAGGGTTTAGGGTTTAGGGTTTGGGGGGGGGTTGAGGGG